TTGCAGAAAGTATCGCACACTTAGCCATATTATTAAATTCTTTATTTCGTAATAGATCACCATATATATCTTCTACAAAATCGGCATTAATGGGTGCAATACAACAATCTGGAAATTGTATATTATCGTTAGCATCATTTAATATGTCAACTTCCGTTTCTGGTGCAATAGAGTGTGTCACGTAGCGGTTAGACGAGTGCTTTCGGCAGTGTGTGAAAGAGTAAGAGTGGTCTGGTGGAGGTGTGCATGTGAGAAGGAGAGAGTAGAGGAGAGAGTGTGCGTGAGAGAGTGGAGGCAGGTTGCGAAAGAGAAGGATTGAGGAGAAAAGAGTGCGGAAAGCGTGTGTGAGAGCGGGTCGAGCAGGAAGTACGCGAAACGCTAAGAGGGGAGAGCGTCGAGCGGAGAGCGGCCGCGGGCGAGGAGTGCGTGAAATATAGACGGCGCGCAGACCGGTGAGGGAGTTGGGCCAGGGACGTAGAATGTAAGAAGAGTCGGCTTAGAGATAATGATCGGGAGGATAGGGTATGATGATGGGGCACAGAGAACAAGGAGCGGGAGCGTCAGCAGCGTCGGGAGTGGGAAAGGAGAGGACGCAAAGAGGAAAAGAAAAAATGTAGAAATGCAGGAAAGAAGGGGGAGAAGGAAGATAGAGATAGCAAGAAGCCGCCCGTGACTCTGGACTGGGAGGAAAAGGAGAAATGCAAATGGAGGGAGGACATGAAGAAGTGGAGGGAAGAAGTGAAGGAGGTGATGAATTATTTGAGGGAGGTGAAAGGGTGGAGGGGGGATTTGAGACAGATGATGGGAGAGATGAAGAAAAAGCTCAGGGAACAGGGGAAGTTGATGAGGGGGGAGGTGGAGGAGTTGAGAAGAGAGTGTGGAGCGAGAGGAGAAATGGAATGAAGAGAAAAAGAAGTTGGTGAGCTACATAAAAGGGCTGGAAAGGAAGATAGAGGAGTTGGAGAGAAATAAAGAGGGGGGTGGAATGGGAGGTAGGATAGTGGGGGAGGGAGAAGAAGGTGGGGTGGGGGAAATGCCCCAGAAAGAAAACCAGCTCGAGGAGGACATGGTTCGCCGTCGATGGTAAGCAGTGCAATCTGAAGAAGCTCAAGTCCTAGCTACTACTAGATACAAGTAGATGGGGGGAGGGGAGAAGAGAGGGAGAAAGGGGGAGGGAGAGAGGAGAGTTGTGCGTGACTTTTTGGAACGTGGCCGGGCTAGAGAACAAAGATAAGGAGTTTTATGGCTGAAAGAATGGGATGTGATGGTGCTGCTGGAAACATGGTTGGATGATAGAGGGTGGAAAAGAGTTAAAAAGAGACTGCCGGGAAAGTGAGTGGGAAGTGCAGACGGCGAAGAGAAAGAATAAAAAGAGAAGAGCGATGGGGGAATGGTTATGGGTATAAAGAAGGAGTTGGTGGAGAAGGGGGAAAGGATTGTGGGAGCGGGAGAAGAGATCATGACGGGCAAGGTAACAGTGGGGGAGGAGAGATAAAGGATAGTGGGAGTATACGCAGGAGAGGGCGCGGAAAAGGCGCTAAAGGGGCTGGAGAAGTGGATGGAGAACAAAGAGGCAGGAGTTAGAGTGTTGATTGGGGGGGGACTTCAACGCGAGAACAGGGGAGAAAGGGGGGAGCTGGAAGATAAGGAAGGGGAGGAAGAGAGAGGGAGGCAAGAAGAGAAATGGTCAAAGGACCGGATTATAAATAGGGAGGGTAGACTGATGTTGGATTTCCTGGGAGAAAGAGGGTGGTGCATCTTCAACGGAAACACAAAGGAAGATGAAGAGGGAGAGTTTACATACCGGGGGAAGAAGATGCACATTGATTGATTATGTAATAGGGGAAGGAGAGGTAAAGGATAGAGTGGAAAAGATGAGGATGGGGGACAGGGTGGACTCTGATCATCATCTGGTAGAGGTATGGCTAAAAGGGGAGCAGGTAAGAGGGAAAGGGGGCAATAAAAGAGACGGAGGAGGAATTAAAGAAGGAGGAAAAGAAAAAAGTGGGCTGGTTGGATGAGGAGTGCCTAGAAAAGAAGAGGGAGGCAAGAAGGGAACTAAGGAGGTGGAGAGGGATGAGAGGGCAGGGGGAGGAATGTAAAAGGAGGAAGCAGGAGTTTAGAGAGATGTGCAAGAGGAAAAAGGAAGAGGAGAATGATAGGTGGGAAAAATAGGCGGCGGAAGTGAGAAAAGAAAGTGAAGTGGAGGAATTAGTTAATAGGGAGAGGAAAAAGAGGAGGAAAGTGACGGAAGGGATAGAAATGGCGGAGTGAAAAGAGCATTTTATGAGGTTACTTGGGGGGGAAAGGGTAGAGGAAAGGGTAATCAAAGAAGGGAGAGAAAGGAGGAGGGAGGGAGAGGGAGGTGAGGAGGAAATAAGTATGGAAGAAGTGAGAAGGGTCTTAAAGAAAATAAAGGAGGGAAAAGCGGCGGGGGTAAACGGTATTTCGAGCGAGGTGTGGAAACACGGGGGAGAAGAGTTGGCGGAGTGGGTAAGAGGGTTTTGTAACAAAGTATGGAAGAGAGGAGGGTGGCCGGAGAGTTGGAAGGAGGGGGTGATTGTGCCCATAGTAAAGGAAAAAGGGGAGAGGGTAGAAGACTATAGGGGGGTTACCTTGCTTTCCACCTTATACAAGGTGTACGTGGCGGTGTTAGCCGAGAGACTGAGGGAGGAAGTGGAGCACAAGGGAATCATCCCGCCGAATCAAATGGGATTCAGGAAGGGGATGGGGACGATGGACAAAATTTATGTGCTTAACTACATAATGAATAGGCAACTAGGAAGGAAGGAGGGGAAGGTGGTGGCGCTGTTTGTGTATCTAAAAGCGGCATTTGACTCGGTAGATGGGGAGGTGTTGATTGAGGCACTGTGGGAGAGGGGGGTTGGGGAGGGTCTGGTTGAGAGGATAGAGAAAGTATTGAGAGAGACGAGAAGTAGGGTCAGAGTGGGAAAGGAGCTGGGGAAGAGTTTTTGGACATCAAGAGGGGTAAGGCAGGGATGTCCGCTAAACACGCTGCTTTTTATTATATTGTTGGCTGACTTGGAGGAGGAGATAAAGAAAGTCAAGTAGGGTGGGATCAGGCTAGGGGAAGGAAGGGTGTATGACTTAGAGTTTGCGGATGACATGGTGCTCCTGGCGGAGGGGGAAGATGAAATGAGACGTATGATGGAGAGGCTGGAGAGGTATCTGGATAAGAAAAAGCTGGAACTAAATGCAGAGAAAACTAAGATCATGAGGTTTAGAATAGGAGGAGGCAGGATGGTGAAAAAGGATTGGCGGTAAAAAGGAAGAAAAGTGGAAGAGGTGAAGGAGTTCCGATACCTAGGGTATACGCTACAAAGAAATGGAGGGCAAGAGGCGCACGTGAAAAAGAGAGTTAAGAAGGCGGCGGCGGTAATGGGACAAGTGTGGGGGATAGGGAAAAGGAGCTTTGGGAAGGACTGGGGGAGAAGGCTTTGGCTATTTGATAAGCTGGTTTGGACGGTAATGGGGTACTGGGTGGAAATATGGGGACGGATGGGAAGAGAGAGAACTGATGGAGAGGCTTGAAGAAAAATATTTGAGATGGGTTTTGGGAGTAGACAGGAGGACGCCGTGGTACTTGGTGAAAGAGGAGTTGCAGAGAGAAAAATGAAGAGGTAGGGCGGGCAGGAAGGCATGGGGGTTCGAAAAAAGGCTGGAGGAGAGAGGAGGGAGCGAGCTAGCGAGAATGTGCTGGGAGGAGAAGGAAAAAACGGGGAGGAGAGGGGGAACCTCGAGTTGGAAAGAGGGTAGGAGAAATTTTCTGAGCGAAAAAGGCTTGTGGATAGAGACAAGAATAGAGGAAATGATAAGGTGGGAAAGAGAGGTGCAAAGAGTTGAGATGGGAGAGAATAAAAAAGTCAAAGTACAACAAATGGTAAGGAAGTAAAAGAGGAAGGGATACCGGAGTACCTAAAAAAAGGGTGGGGGGAAAATAGGTGGAATAGGTTTGCGAGAGTTAGGCTGGGGAACGAAATGAGGAAGGGTAGACATTGGGAGGAGGAGGAGAAAAGGACTTGCAGACTGTACAAGGAAGAGGAAGAGACGTGGGAGTATACGTGGGAGCGTTGTAGGGAATAGGATGAGGGAGGGGGAGTTGGCAGGGAGAGAGGAGATGGGTGTTGGGAGAAGAGAAAGAGGGGGAATGGTGGATGAGAGAGATCGAGAAGGATAGGAACAGGAAGGGGTACTTTGAAGGGTTGGAAGAAGGGGAGGAATAAGGTGTGATTGAGGTGAGAATGAGAGAGACTGAGTGGAAAGCCGAAGAGAGGGGGGTAGAAGTGATTCAAACGAGTTTTATAAAAGCAAGAGAAAACGGAAGTCCCTTGCGAAGAGGGTGTGTGCGCGTGCGACGAGTGTGGGTGTTGGCGGATGCAGAGGCAGAAGCTCACATCCACACCACTAGGTTGAGTAGGTTAAGTTAGTATAAGTTAGGTTAAGAGAATGCGTTAAGAGAGGTGTAGAAGAGCATGTAAAAAGTTTGGAAACGTTCCTTAAAAAAAAACGCTTTTTGAACCCTACGGGGATATGAAATAAATATATACATACATACATAATATGCCATCTCCCATATCCAATAAAAATTTTGCAAATTTAGTTTTCTCTGGAAGAACTTGCATATTTTCCGTTAAAGAAAAACTTATAAAATATTTTCAAGTAGAACTAAACTTGATAGAAAGATTCACAATTTCACATCGAGTACCGTGTATCTTATTAGGAAGAAGTTGCCTGAAATCACCACCTAATATGATAATTTTTCCACCAAAGGTAAGTTATTCATAATATCACGCAACATTCGATCCATAATCTCTAGAGCATATCGCGGTGCCATTGGCGCTTCATCCCAAATAAAAATGTTTTTTTTTCAAATATTGAGCTTCTTTTGATTGAATTTTAATGTTAGAAAAGGAATCAGCAAATAGTGGAACCGGCAATCCAAATGTCTTATGAACCGTTTTTCCTGCTGGCAATAACGTCGCAGCGAAACCCGTAAAAGCCATTGTAGATACATGTTTATTACGAATTTTGGCTAAGTGATAAATAGTTGTATATGTAAATGTTTTACCTGAACCACCTGGATCATCGATATAGAAACAATTACTACTGTGATGATTATTATTATCTAATCTATTTAATATTATATCTACTATTTCTTTTTGCTTGTCATTTAACTGTTCATATTGTCTAATACCAATTTCCATAACTTCTTCAATAGTCATATAATTATCCTCTTCATCATTTTTTATCAATTGTTCCATTTGTGGAAAGTCGGCAAGACTTTTACCTTCAACACAAAGCATAGTATTGATTTGCGCATATGCTTTTTTTTGTCCTTGTAACATTCCAAAGTGTCGGATAAAATCTTCCGACATTGCTACTTAAACTTCCCCAGAGTTCTTCAGGATGCAATGGTTGACAATGCAATAATATACGTACAAATAATCTACAAAGTTGTCTTGGCATCATCCATCCAATAGCTTTATTCATAGCTCGTTTCCATTCATCATCATCTTCAATTAAACCTAAAGTCAAACATGCCTCTGAAAACGATTGACAAACTTCCCCATTTACAGTTCTTAAATTATCAAAACTTGTAGCTCTCTTTACAGTGAGTAATAATAGTCGTAAATAGTATAATTCAGTTTGTGTTAGACTAACGGAATACATTCCTCCTATACAATTAAAATGACTTTTGCGTTTACTCCAACGCGATACATTTCTACCATTAATTTTTTCTTTTTTAAACGTATAATAACGAATTTCTATATATAAATATTGTTTTGCTTTTTTATCGCGAGAATTTAACGCAAAATAATTTATTAACGTAGTAACTTGATCTAAAGCGGAAGTTATTGTATTTTCATCGGATCCATTTTCAA